TTTTTTTTTTTTCAAAATAATTTTTACCAAATCTTCCAATGAAAGTAACATTTGCCCCTAGTTTGGCATGCAAGAATGTTCATTGAAATTAAACTCAAAGTTTTTAACTAAGGGTAATCTTTCAAGGTTTAGGGAATAGAGTTTCAAAAGGAAGGCCTTCTATCCTTGGATCTTCTATTATAGGCATCAAATTGATAACAATCACCTAACAAAGTTAGCAAAAATTCCACCATTTTCCCTTTTTCTTCTTCTTCTTCTTCTTCTTCTTCTTTTGTGCAATTTGTGGCGATTCTTAAAGATGGTTCCTTGGCATAGGTTTTCAAAAGGTTTGAAATAGTAAGGATAAGAATTCTCAAGCTTTCTATCATAGAAATGTTTGTTTCAAATTTTGAGATCAATTTCTCTTTGTACATTTCCCTTATCCTACTCATCCATTATTTTCCCCTCAATCACCTCCCTCATTTCTCAACCTTTACTTTGTTTCTCAAGCCTCGATTTTCTTTATGAGGTTCAACATTGAATTCAAGTTCACTAACAACGCAATTCATGGAAGTATAAAATCAAGAACTAAAGAACCATGAATTAAAACATGAAGAACAGAGATTCAAATTGCAATATGAAAGGAGTTTGGAAAATGCAAATAAAGACTAACATGATAAACACATTTCATTCCAAAATGATAGCAATAGGGAAAAACTCCATTGTTCACTTATTCAAGCTCTCATCAATAGCAGTTCTAAGATCAACCTTGTCTAAGTGAAACTATAAGCGTTGGCCCCTTCAATATTAAAGGCTATCTATGAGTTGATGAAACTTGATTGGTGAGAGTAATTGCAGCCACCTCTTGACCTTCCTCAAAATCCTTCTTGATCATATTGACTGTTGAAACATTATGTGGTGGTAGGGGGTTTTTAGTGATATTTGAACCAACAAGTTCGAGTTCTAATGCAATCTGTAACTCCTTTGCCTCTATCAAATCTTGAACACGATGCCTTAAAGCCAAACAATTTTCAAGGTCATGCCCAACACCTTCGCTGTGATATTCACATCTTGCTTGTGGATTGTACCACATTGGAAATGGTGGTTTTATTGGAACCATAGGTGCAGGAGTAACAAGATTAGCTACTACCAATCGTTGAAACACTTCAGTATATGACAAAGGAAGCTTGTCGAAATATTGTCTCACTTTTTGTTGTGGGCAATTGGTACCAGAGGCATAAAGTCGCCTTGGCTGATAAGTTGGGGCTTGGAAAGGATTATTGAATTGCCCTCAAGGACGTGGTTGATTATTTCTCCCATACGTTTCATAAACTGAGTTGATGGTGCCAGTGTCATTTTCTTTCTTTTGACTTGGGCTAACCTTCTTTGAACTAAAAGCCCCTGAACTACCATTTTGGTATTGTTCAAGGAGACTCCTCATTGCTTGATAATCAATGATAATTCCAGACTTGATTCCATCCTCCACTTGTTCTCCCACAACAACAAACTGGCAAAAGTATAATTCACACAAGTTATTAACTTCTCACGATAAAGGCTTTTGGTTGACTTGATGAATAAATTACTTAATTAATGATCAGTTAGTGGAGGTTGAACCCGAGCAGCCAATCCACGCCATCTTTGGGCAAATTCCTTAAAGCTTTCTTTCGATTTCTTATCTATCCTTTGAAGATCTTCTCTGTTATGAGCTAGTGATGTATTGTATTCATACTGCTTCATAAAATTGTAAGTCAAATCATGCCAACTTTTGACCTTGCTTTTGTCTAAAGTAGAGAACCAAGCATCTGCAGGACCTGTCAGACTGTCATAAAAGTAATGTATCATTAGTTCCTCATCATTGGCATAAGGAGCCATTTTCCTACAATACATCGTCAAGTGGGCATAAGGACAACCAGTGCCATTGTACTTATCAAACTCAGGCAATTTAAACTTATGGGACAGTTGAATGTTTGGGAAAAAGCACAAAGATGAGATGCCAACCGGTTTATTGGTTTGGACACCTTGCATCGATTTCAGTGTTTCCTCCATCAACTGCACCTTCGCTTTAATTGCCTTGTCTTCATCCTCTGTGATTGATTTGACAACTTGAGTCTCTTCTTAATCATTAGACTAAACTGTAGCAACACCAGCATTTAGATCAAATGGCTTTGTCCCAGAAATTCCACCAATACTTGGATTTGGCAGGCAAGATGACATTGGCTCCTTTCTAAGAGTAGATGTGGTGATAGCGAGATTTGCCACAGAAACATTTCCTTCAAACAAGGGATTTGTTGTCAAAGGTGCCCTTGTGACTAAGGTTGCTTGAAGAGATTGGAAGGAAGCCATCAATTCCTTCAAAGTATTTTTCATATTTTCAACACGATTTTCCAAAGCTACATTCTCTAAATTAGCTTCGTTAGCCATCTTCCTTGCAAGAGCTCTAGTGAGAATAGGTGAACGAACTCTTGGATAATTCTTTTTAGGACCAATCTTTTAACACCTGAAAAATATGAGCAGTATTAACAAATCATGAATTTATCTAATTGGTATTTTGAAAGATAAGTTCCCTAGCTTCTAATTATTTTTTTATATTTGTACACATAGATTTTTCATTGTCAAGAACAACTTCAGCCATTTGTATGTAAAGGAAATGAGAAATTAGAGCCAAGCAATTGTCACGCCAGCTAGAAACATGAGGAGATTGCCCCCTTCATGATCTTTTAGATTTTATTTATTTATTTTTTACTTTTTTAAGTAAAAGAAAAATAATGAGGAGATTGCCTCCTTCGTATCTTTTCTTCTTTTTATTGAGGAACTTAATTTTTCTCAACAAATAAAATTCAAGAAAAATGTGAAATTTGACTTCAAACTTTATTCTTTTATTTAAAATTTTGAATATAACAACTAACAGATAACAATCATAAACTTTCACTTTTCTTTGTTTTTCCAATACTCTATTGTTTTAAGTTCATGTTCACAATAATCCCTTATCATCCTTGAAAGCCCTTCCATAAGATTTAAGTTGCATCATGTTGATTTGGTGGAATAGTATGCTCAACCTTCATCACTTCAGAGCAGATTCCATTGACCAAATATAGCACCTTTCCTCCTTCTCTCTTTAATTGATCGATTGTAGCCAATGCCTCATTCAACTGTCCATTTAATCTTCTTACCTCTGCTTCTAGTCCTCTTATCTTCTCACTTTGATAAACTTGTCATGTTTGCATTAACGCCAATTTTTCTTTCATCAGTTCTTCATTATTTTGAGCTTCCTCAAGTTTTTGCAACAATTGTAATTTATTATCGAGCAAATTCTCCACTTCATTTTCAAAACCCTTAAGTCGATCAATCTCACTCTGCTGTTGATTTATTAGAATCTTTAAATCGGCACTCTGATCCTTGACTTGATTGAGCTAATCCTCCAACTTGTTTTTATCACACATTAAATGATCATTTTGCCTTTCTTCTTTCTGGATGATCCTTCTTAATTTTTTAAGAGTTTGAGCCTGCTCGTTGATTTCTTTCTCTGCCTCCTCTTTTCAAAAGTTATAGAATTCTTTTCCTTAATCAATTTTTGCTTCTCACCTTCCAGAAGATAAATGTCCAAAATTTTCTCTCTAATTTCATTTTTATGCTTGACCCTTTGAGCACACGACAAACCTTCTAGCTCTACTATTCTTTTCTTCAAATCTACAATAATAACTTCTTTAATGACAGGAATGTCATAAGGGATAACTATGTCTTGAAGCCAAACTTTCCTCCATTCTTCAAACTCAGAACTAACTGAAATCTTGTCCCTTGAGAACTGAACTTCACATTGTGACCATACTTCCTTGGCAAAGCCAATTTGATTAATTACTTGAGTATCAAGAGAATAATCAAACCCATATGAAGAGATACCATCTAGCAATGGTTTACTTTGCCTATCACGGAATTGCCTTATCACTAATGCTGAACTATAGCTAATAGCTCCTCGAACACCCAATAACGGAATCTAGTTATGGCCATGTGGAGGATAAAAGTAATCAATAGACTTCAACCATGTCACACACCAGACTATGTCTTCGGATCTCAAATTCAAGAATTGTTGATGCCATTGGTCATCCATTTTCTTTTCCAATTGATTCTTTTTTTGCAAAATTCAAAACTCCCTAATTGTGGAGACATTTACCTTTGATAAATGCGCATGTATCCATATTGTAAACAAACTAGCAGAACATGTGAATCTACCCTTGCCATGAGCTCAAATATAGTTAGCATTGCATAGAGTTTCAGCAATTAAAATAGGAGCAACATTAAGATTTGGATTCTTGATCAACTGCTCAAACATGGCGACAATCGATGAACTAATACTGTCTATATTAGTGGGCAAAATAACCATTCCATATATACCTAAGGCAACAAAATTTAAGCGGTCCTCCTCAAAAAGTGAACTTAGATCAAACCTTAATTTGGAATACATCATGTTCCAATTAACTCCCCAAACTTCATTTTTCTTCATAATGCAACTTTCTATGAACTCTAAGGGAAAGCTCAAAATCTTTTGTAGTATGGACTGAAATTGCAACTTATTTAATTGAAAGTTAACAGGGTCTGGGACATAAACTTCTGAACTCATTTCTGGGCGATTGAACAATAACTAAAAATATTCTTCAATGGTGGGTACCAACTCAAACTTAGGAAAAACAAAGCAACGAAGATGCGGGACATAAAATCTTAGGCTTGCCCTAATGATTTCTCAGTTCAGCTCTACTTGTAGCACATCAGCTATTCTGCCAAATTTCTTGTCAAACCTCACTTTGTCAAGATTATTCAGACTATTCCAAGTAGCAACCAAGTCTTTTACACAAGGTCTTTTGGTCTACACAGAGAATCCATCCTTGTGTGACTTGTTCTTCTTGGATAATGGCGGGCATTCTAACTCTAAATTCACCCTTTTTCCCTTACTGTTCTTTTTCTTTGAAGAACCCATGTGTAAAATAATCAATTACCTATTTATTAAAGAAAAAAAAAAGGAGAGTTAATGAATGTCATACCTCTTGGTCGAATTCCTCACCTAAGAAACACAAAATCATTGTTTAAAAATAAAATACTCCTAACGTGTCATATGTATAAGGTTCTTAGACTTTGAAGGTGGTTTACTAGGCTGGTCGTTCTAGTGTTAAGTTTTGTCTAAGTCCATTACATGCGGTTTCCTAGTGGATCCTATACGATTAGGCTTTTTCAACTGCTAACTTCCATAAGTCAACAATTGCCAACTTCTATAGAGTTAACAAGAGGGATTTCATGACCTAATATAGCAATAACATTATAACTGTCAAGCCATATTAACCCACAAAATGAATCTAAAAGAGATAAATCTCACTTCACAATGAAAGCATTGTGCTTTTCATTGTTCCATGAGTTATCCATCTATCTAGAGGTCGGGTTCACCTCATCAAGGACAAAAATTATATGCAAGTGAGGTGTGTGAGGGAGTATGCACATAAAGTTAACAAATGAAAATAACAAAAATATTAAATAAAATAACAAAATAAAAATTTACAAGATACTCCATGCCACCTACAAAACAAAAGTTAGTAATTGAAAGAAAACCCCCAAAATTAAAGAATAAATGGCGTGACCCCTCGATGTCCCCAGTGGAGTTACCAAACTGTTGACGTGCCAAAATAGATGAAGTCGCCATCTATCCAAATGAGGTGGGATAGATCACCAAGGTCTACGTAGAAATTGATTAGGCTCGGAGGGTCGGTTAAGCGTGAGGAAGGTGTTAGGCACCCCACAACTTTCATAAAATATGATTACCACATACTTTAATTTTGAAGACTTTTTAATTTTATATTAAAATAATAATTACCAAAAATAATAATAATAGTAGTAAACAAAAAAATCACTTAAAAAAAACCTGTTATCATTTTTTTT